CTGCCCAATCATCCATGCCCTTTCTGTTGTTGCTGTTGTTGTTGTTGTTGTTGTCAGTCAAAGTCCTGTCCAAGTGTTTGTTGTGACCAGGGAGTGTGGAGTGAAGACCGAGGTGCGGGTTTGGCCGCGCCATTCGCCTGCGCTACCCCCGCCTCCGGTCCTCTTGGCTGTATCTTGACACCGGACCCAGGTGGAGAGGAGAGAGTGAGGTAGATGTCGCGCAAGTCTGCTCTCATCCAAAACTAACTCACGCTCAAGTCACCTTGCCTGCCTTACCTTGCTGTAGGGCACGCGATGGACATCGTCGGATGCGATGGTCAAACTATCCTCACTTGCGTCGTACTAGTCGCTTTCCTAAACACCTTGGTTTTTAGACCACCACAATCTTTGCGGCAGGTGAGGATGTCAAGGAAGTGCGGCTGGTTATTTTCTTCCTCCTCCATCCGAAACGTCAGGCCAATAAGCCTTTTGTTCCAACGATCACAGCTTCTTCTTCTGGACTGTTTCCTTGAACTTGCCTGAAGAAGGGGCCATTACAGCTTGGTCCTGAGTTCTGAGAAGCGTCAGCTGGCAGTCTTTCAAGTTACCACTCTTGGCGCGTCGCGGTAGATTCGAACACTTTCGATTTCTCATGACAGGGCGTGTGCAGATGTACCGCCAGCCTCTCTCTCTCCGCTCTCTTATGCACCAACCGACTGTCTGAGCACGCTGGCGAACTGCTGATGGGACTGATTAAGAAGAAATGCATATTGCATAGTCTTCGTGCTCTGTAGACAATGGAAGACGGGGTTGATTCTTTAAAAAAATACGACTTCAGTGAACCCGTGCTTCGAGTATAAAGAAAATGAGATGTTCCGAAAAATGGGCACAACATTGCACTTTTGCTTTTTTTCCTGTAAAATATGATTTAATTGATTCGATCATCGATTATTAGCTCAAAAACCTTTTGAGCGTGAAAGTTTTCCCGCGCATGATTTTTACACATGCTGCTACACCGTTTGCATGAGCGTCTGCTCTCATTTCATGTTCATCCGTGTTGTAGCAATAGGTACCTAATCTCTTCCACTTCAAATGACATTTAACGATCCGCTCAGTTGTGCAAGTGTTCTAGTCTACTTTATAATAAAGTTAAAATTATCTTACGGTTGTCGGCTCCTCTCACCTTTACTGTGATTGTCCCACGCGCAGACAATTTGTAAGGGTACTTTGAGACTTCTGCGTAGAATTCAGGACTGACATGAATTCGATCCGGCTGAAAGAAAAGTGCAAGCGTTCGGGCAAAAATTGAATTATCATCTAACAATGAACCGATATTTAAGATTTGTGCCGTGAGGAAGACATGAGTCTAATGAAAAATGATAATTCTACTCCGCTCACTCGCTGTTAGCCGTTCGAGCCGATTTCGGGACATTTTGGTGGATCTGTACTGTCAATTAAATTATTTTCAGTCAAAAACAGGTCTTTCCGCTGAAAGTAAATGTCGCTCAAATGGGCTCTGGTTAAAGCATATGCTTTTTTTCATTACGAATATGGCCTTTATATCCAGACCTTATCCTTAGGCATTTAACAGAAGGATTATCCGACATCAGAAGTGTTGTGGCACGCCTAGGCGCACCTTTTGTTTCCTTGACTCTGTTATGACACTATACCTAGATGGGAGGATGAATTGTGGTAGATACTGCGCAAGCCTACTGTTGCTGTAAGGTAACTCATGAGCAAGTCATCGTCCCTGCATTCACCCTCCTGGAAGCGTCGAAGAAATTGACTGTCGAAATGTCGTTTGTGTCAAAGAGGATTATGGCTGGTATCCGTCGGATGCACTTTGATCATTAATGTAATACAGGACTGCGAATGAAGGCATATTTTCGAGTTCCAGATGTTCTCTTGTGGCTGTCACAACGAGTTAAGGGGCTCAAGGAAATAAATAAATGATTCTGGTGCTCGATCAGCCTTCTTTCTCGCTTATAAGGGTATATAAACCGATGAACTTTAGATACTTGGGTTAAAAAACTGGAATATTATTTCGGAATAAGAGAGCATATCAAGTATTGACAAAAGTCCTTCTTCTACTGCCAAGCTATTGATATTACTTGATTACGTTAAGAAGAGTACGCTGTTCATTCCAGTGCATAGTACGCGTTAGAAGACGATCTATAGTTCTCGAAATTTTGACATGTCGTCCTTCTCAATTTACCGCACAGAAGAATTTCTTCAGGGAGGAGGATGTTTGTAAAAATGATAGTTGATCCCAAAAAGAACGAAGAAGATATCAAACTACGACAATAATTCGACGTAATGTGTTAATTTTCAGGGGCAAAGTTAAGCAATGCCCTCACTATCAAGTGAGCTGCAAACCAGTTCACTATTGGACAAATTACTCAATAAAGCCTTTGAAGTGGACAGTGATACTCTGAAATTAGGTTGTAAAATCTGGCTATATCCGCTTATATGGCTGGGAATAACGCTGGATTTCACGGTCACCCAAAGAATATTTCGGAAATCTCAAAATTTGCTTGACAACTCGGAACCCAATCGAAACAGTAACTTGGGGGTTCAGGAGCCTCCAATTTGTCACTGTGTGCAGTCACAGAGTATCTGCAAAACGAATCCTTCTGGATTTAAGTTGACAAAGCTTTAAAAGTGGTACGCGCTGTAATCCTTACTTACGTTTTAGCCGGAAAAGGCAGCTTGAGGGAGGATAAAATATTGAATTGCATCAAAAGAGATTTTTAGCATCCTGAATAAGTCGTAATCGGAATAAAGTCAAGTAGAGCGTATTTGTCCATTTATTTTAGATATTTGTGTAAATTCAATCATAGTAAGTGCATAAAACATCTTTTCATGTGTCTGTGTTAAGAACCTTCATTTTTTAAATATTTGTCTAAATGAGTGGAGTATTTTTTATTTCAAGAATGTTTGCGATTGAGATAGTTTGATACATTTGCTTGATCATTTGAGTAATCAAATAACCCTGCTCTTGTCAATGCTGTTTTGGTTCATATTAAATATTAGGTCTCTTCCGAGGAAATTAAGGAGTCATGCGAATTTGTCTTTTACGGTAACGACATATGACGTTGTTTTTAAGCCGCAAAGAAAAGCAAAATTGCAGCTTTTTATTCTACACATGCAGTAATCAATAAACGTGTTCAAAACCAACTTAAACACTCCTTTCAGCTGAATACTCAAAAGGCCTGTTCTTCTCGAAATCAGCACAGAAGAGAATTCTTGTGCATGCTTCCGAACAATCTTCCTGACTGCACAAAGTCATCAGAGTGTAACAGGAAAAAGTGCACACTCTTCAAATCTGATTTACAGGGGCGAAAGAAGGAGACAATCTAAAAGCCCACAATTGCACTCAAGTATTCTCTTCCATTCTGAAGTTTGTACAACGATTCCAATCGAGGTCTCGTGAGTTTCAACGTAAAGAGGTCTTGTGAGGTCCAAAAAGGTTAATTGCGGGACTGAAGGACAGTCAAAAAGAACCTCGTCATTTGTTGGGTCCTCCTTCCACTGACGTAAGATGTGGTTGACCATAACGCGAATGGGAATTGGCCATTCTGACTGATTTTGCAGACCGCGAAGTAGAAGAAGAAGAAGACACAGTCGCTGGAACAAGAGTTTTATCAGCCAGAAGTTGCGGATTCTCACTGGAATCCATTATCAAAAACAGAGTCGAATAGCGGTAGTGGGTTGCCCAGGTGTTGCAGTAGTTAGAGGATGTAGTTGCTAGACCGTTACAGTGAGTGACCGATCTCATGAAATGTTGGCTGAAATTCTGAAATTCGTTTTTGATTAGGAAAAATTACTTAGGCGCGGTTGTAACACTGATTATCTCGAGGCATTATCCTATAATATTTCGGACTTCGCAGGATGTCGGCTTTCAAATGCACGTCTTTTCAATCCCCTGTAGAAGTCGTGCTTGGCTAAAATACTACATATGTAGTATGCATTTTTCACATTGATTGTTGATAGTCTTGCAAATTCAAATATATTTTATAGAATGCATGAACAAAAATAGGCTTTCTTTCACTCGTTTGATAGAGAAGAAATTTATCTTTATATTTTATACTCGAAGAAGCATTATAATTAGTTTTTTAAAAAGTTTCCTAGTTCCCGAATAATTTGGAGCCTGATCAACTGTTGTATTAGCGCCTAGTGAGTGCGGTCTACAAACTTCATGCCTTCCGCGTAAAGAAAATCACATATTATTCTATGTGTTTAGAAAGACACCATATAGAGTCCATAGAATTTCGCAATGGATGCGGACCGTGTTGTGCTTTTCCTGAGAAGCAATGGTAAATGGACTGGTACGGTGCTGTATGAATAGAAATCGTACGATCCTAAAAAATCTCATAATTAGAAATTTTTTAAAACCTGGGCATACTGTTTCTTCGAGTATAAACTATGAAGATAAATTTCTTCTCTATCAAACGAGTGAAAGAAAGCCTATTTTTGTTCATGCATTCTATAAAATATATTTGAATTTGCAAGACTATCAACAAGCAATTTGAAAAATGCATACTACATATGTAGTATTTTTAGCCAAGCACGACTTCTACAGGGGATTGAAAAGACGTGCATTTGAAAGCCGACATCCTGCGAAGTCCGAAATATTATAGGATTATGCCTCGAGATAATAAGTGTTACAACCGCGCCTAAGTAATTTTTCCTAATCGAAAACGAATTTCAGAATTTAAGTCAACATTTCATGAGATCGGTCACTCACTGTACAGGCCATCACAATTGGCAGTTGCCAAGTGCATCACGGTTCGACCGGCCAGTTGCCTTAGCACGCAGTTTCCATGCGCGTGCGTACAGGTCAAAATTATCGGCAGTCCACTATCTTTGTCTGACTCTGTCTCTGATGATGGATTCGAGTGAGAATCCATAAAGTCTGGCCACTAAAGCTCTTGTTTCAGCGATCGTGTCTCCTTCTTCGCGACTACTTCTTGGAACTCGTTTCTTCACTTCTATTAACGATTTAACAAACGTTATATTTATCAACAACTTACAATTCCATGACTCATCATTCGACTGGCCACATTGACTGTGTTTCCAAAGAGACAGTACCGGGGAGAGTGAAGTCCAACGACGCCGGCCACAACGGCTCCTGTGTGACAGCCAACGTATAAGCGGACTGGCCTTTTCTCTGTCTCTCCCTTCATGACCGGCCAAAACAGCTTCCGCCGGGTTTTCTGGAGTATATCCAGCACAGTCTCTGCGATATGGGCACTGTGATACTTCGTTACACTGGGCAGGCCAGAGGCTATCATATAGCTGTCACCGATAGTCTCCACCTGCGCCATAGAGAAGGAACACTCGGTGCGTAATTCAACATGGGAGATCATAAACAAAAGTGATTCATCTTTTCTGCCAATAGCTGATCCTTACCTTGTAGACCTTGGAGCGTTCTGAGATGGCATCAAATATGGAATACATTTGATTGAGTAAGGTTACAACGTCACTGAGCTGGACTTTTCCACAGAACTTCGTGAAGTCCTCGACCTTTGTGAAGCACAGGGATACGTGGTCAAAGTTCTAAAAGCAAATGTATTTTTGCGCGTTCGTTAGGCAAATATTCATAATTACTCAAAATCTTAAAAGGGCCTGAAAAAAAATTAACTTCATCAAGGAGGGTGCATCTTAAATTCAAAATTTTACATCGCTGTCTTATATGGTTATATGGCGAAAAATACCCAATGCGCCATTTGATTTATGTAATATTCTGTATTCTTGCTTTGATACCATCATTACCTACAGTTCGCGTTTTTTTTTGAAAAAACTCCGGAACTGAAATCCTTCGAGAAGATTAGTCAGTAGAGTAAGCGGAAACCTTAAAAATATTAAGAAATGTATCCAAAAAGATATCTGGACGAGAAAATCCCTAGAAGAAGCTACTTCATTCGGCTTTATCAAGGGTGTGGGGAGTTAAAAGGTGATTGAAATACTAGTAAGACATGTCATGTCGTTCCTTGATGACTCTGAATTGTGGGAAGGAAGATGGCCTATTATGTTTCACACTGGAGCAGCAGTTAAAAATAGCAAAGAGCAAGTCAGTTTTTTAGTCTAGGACAAATAGGTCGAAAACAAAAATTTCAATCTTCCATGTTTTACCGGCGACATTTTTAGCTACTAAGTGGATTCTTTAATAATTTTCAATTTTCTGTTGTTTAGTATAAGCAAGTACTTTATGTACAAACCTACAGAACCCCACAAAGTGTGCCTCGATTTTGTTGCCTACCTGACCCCGTGCGAATACCACCATCCGTAGCCATCTTGCCTGAGGGGAGCTCATTGTTACAATCATTGCTGTTAGGGAGTACCGAACCCGACTTAAAGAAGAGTCCTGTCCCTTTCGTCTAAGCCGGCTTCCAATTCACTCCACGTCGTTTTTGCGTACGTTTAGTTCAATCTGCCTGCACGGACATCAAATGGCATCACTAGGCAGGAAACACTGATAGGGCATGGGAATATGTACCTTCTGAACAATGCTCCTGTTAGTATCTACTTACTTGATTTAGGTAGTGCGAAATACATTGGCAATAATCTCTGTGGTCCATTACCTCTTACAACGCCTTCTTCTTTCCCGTCTGGTCGGCCCGAAATCGGTCGAGTTGATCTCTGGTACTTATATCTACGTCATATATACTGATTCCGACGGGTTTCGCAGTTCAGATTCAGTCTCGTGCCAGTCACCGACAGACACCGATCACATGCCGGTTGCATGTAATAATTTGCTCAGTCTTCTATCCAACTTTCTTTATCTACTGGTGTTTTTTGTGACTTTATTGTAACCAATAGGGAGTCCAAAGACGTTCGCCTACCTTTCCCTTAATAAAACTAAACTGAACTGGACAATGTCGCTGGCGAAGGTCCTTCTTTCTCTCCCCGTGTTGCCATCTTCCCCTTCCTCCCCCCCCCCCCAAACGGCTCAAGTCGCAGATGCCCTGACCAACGGACGGACTAGATAGGGATCCCGTAGGCGTTATTTGGAATGTGCACGCGCAAAAAGTGCCCACTTTGTGGGTGTGGCAGCAGGTCCAGGTGCAAGTCTAACCTGCGCCAGTTGTAATCCGTGCCGTCTCCCTTTTTTCCTGCTGTGTAAAATCCTGGTCGGTGCACGTTGTGGAGAGGGGCTGTGGTGGTTCGTCTGGGTGTGGGTTTTCACCATGCTGGCCAACTGTGCCCTGTCTCGCTTCCGGTCTTCTTTACTCTCTTATTACACGCGGGACGGCCAATTGGGGAAGGAGTGGGGTAGATGGTGCGCAAGTCAACCATCACTTTAAAATAACTCACTTACAAATCCCTGTCCCTGTTCTCGCCCTGTTTTGGAGAACAAACTGGATGTCATCGATAACGGAAATCGAACTTGAAGAAGGAGACACGATCGCTGGGACAAGAGCTTAATTAGCCTGACGTTTCGGATTCCTGCTCGGGCCCATCTTCAGAGACAAAAGCAGATACGGGTGGTTCATGCACAAGAGACTGCAGTATTTATAGGATGCAGTCGCACTGCAGTGAGCCGGAAGACAAGATTGCGAACTGCAATACCTCCGTCGGGTCTTCAAAGCCAATGGTTACCCGCGCAACTTCGTCAACCACTGCATACGCAAAACGGACGAAAGACCAAACCGCACGGACGCCAAAGTTTGGCGAGCGCTTCCGTATATCAAGAACGTTTCGGAAGTTGTCGACCGCCTTCTCGCATCACTTGGGGATGGAGTTGCTTACAGACCGGAGGCAACCATCAGGCCTCAAGTAATGAAACTGAAAGACTCACTGCCACGACAAGAAACGTCTAGTGTAATTTACCGAATCTGTTGCGGTTGCGGACAAAGCAACTACGTCAGAGAAACCGGAAGACAGCTCCGAGCGAGAATGACCGAACACGTTGCAGTGGTGCGGAGAAATGACGCCGGCTCTCAAGTTGCGGCTCATTCGACGAAATCCGGCTACACATTCGAATCCGACAATGTCGAAATCCTCGCTAGAGATGATAACCGCGTGAGCCGCTGGCTGCTTGGGTCATGGCCCATTGGCCGCCAGTCTAGTAACGAGTTCAACGACCTTCCCCTTCCATACTCAGTGCTGAGACTTCGCCTAGGCGGAATAAGTAGCCACGCGGGGAGCGCACAGGCGAACACTGCTCCTAACGCCAGTGTGGGTGGGTCAGAGAGTCAAGCAATCATCACACAAACACCTAACACGCGTGATTAAATTGCAGCGATTAACGACGCGAATGCCGGCCATCAAACAATTAGCACACCAAGTTTGACGATCCCTGATGAAAGGGGGAAATGTGAATATTCATAGGTATGCGGTAGCATGGCGACTGCATCCTATAAATACTGCAGCCCCTTGTCAATAAACCACCCGTATCTGCTTTTGTCTCTGAAGATGGGCTCGAGCAGGAATCCGAAACGTAAGGCGGATAGAGCTCTTGTCCCAGCGATCATGTCTCCTTCTTCAAGACCGCTTCCTGGGACTCGTCTCTTTCCTTTTATTGAAGATCGGACTATTGTATGTTGCAAGCTCCTGGTCCAATTAATTATTTCCTGTTTCTGACCGTGAGCCCTGGTGCCGACAACGTCGGAAAAAGGTGCGTTGTGCCTCAAGAACACTATTGTCCACTTCATTGGCTCCGCACCCTAGATTTCATCCTAATCTAGTGAATGGCGCATAAACCACCGCCGTTAGTCCTTGCGTTTCTAGCTCCGTCTTACACGCACGCTGGGTCGGACATCACAGTAATTAGCTCTTTTTCTGCTGATCGAAAACAAAAACGAGCACTTAGTGTCAGTCTACTGTTTAGTCTCTCGTTATTTTTCTGTCGTTCAGCCACGAGGTCGCATGGAAGCGTCTGCCTCTTCTTCTTCTCCTTCTATGCCTTCGTCAATGTTGGAAATATTCACCCTTATTTTTGTTTCCCATCATAACTCCGGTTAACAGCTTCATGCTGCAAATGGTGAGACCTGCACTCTCCGTTTACAACCCATCCTACTGCTTCTGATGATCTTCTTTCCTTTGTTCTGTTTTCTATTAGTCACCCATTTGAACGCCTGAAGGCGTTTGCGCAGACATCCCCGATTGGTGACCTGTGCGCCCACTTGAACAAAATAATTGAACACTAAAGGGGTATAGTTTGGGAGACCGTTATTTCCGTGCAGATACGAAGCACTCGTTCAACTGCAGTAGAGCTCGTGTTTTCGGCACCCACCCGTCAGCGAGTGATCACTTGTTCCGCCAGGCAGAGCTGTCAGATGGGGTAGCCACAAATAGGTATATCAATATGGATGCCTTATACAGTATCCCAAGAACAAAAGGAGAAATACACCGGTCCTTTTAACTGGCTGACATCTGATACCGTGTGTCACACAGTAGGATGGTTACAGGCACGGTGACTTGTGCGTGAATCGGTCTATTTTGGAAGTGGACTTTCGATGCATCTATCGCACTCTCTCATCTCCCATGCCATGACAGGACAGAGTCAAGAAGACCGAAGGCGTGAGAGAACGCAAGTAACTGGTACGGCGAAGACCCCCGCCTAAGCGTGTGCCACTACACCACCTCCTTTTATGGGTGCGCACCCCCGATAGTGTCCGCTGTGTCCTGATCTGGTCCCTGTGTTGGTCAGACGGATCCACTGTGTCAGTTCGCGTGTCCTTGCCCTCCGCTTTTGCCACGCTGCCTTCCTGTCCGCCTCACACTTCTTGTCGATACGCTGCTGGGACACGCGTGGCTTGTCACTAGCCTCGCGAGTGCTCCAGGCCAATCAACGCTGTCCTCCCTCTGACTGGCTGGCGGACGCGGAGACGACGAAAGGCGCACATACGCGCTGGGTCTCAGCACCTCAGACAACAACTTGCCTGGAGAGCACGCTCGCGGCGACTGCCCACAGAGCCTTTGTGTACGCACTTCCAATACAGCAAAGGTTGTCCAACTCACTCCGTCTTCCCTGACTTATGATTGGGAATCATTGTCTTGTCGATCACACAACTTTCGACACTACCGCGTGACCCTTTGTAGGGGGCCTATCCGACTCATACCAGCAAAAGCACTAGTCAGCAGCAGGTTCATTTGGGAGAAATTATTTAAAGCCTGGCTTTTTACGTCTAAAAATGAGTCCGAGAGGTCCAATAAGTCTCCGCATCACAAGTTGCGGGCATAAACCTAACGCTTTAACCCCCTCAGAGAGTACCCTTCCACTCATCAGATTGATATCCAGTGTCGATGTAAATCGATAAAGGGGTCAGCTTTACCATCAAGCACAGGCCTCTTGTAGTTGTCAGCACCGTAACAATCGCTAAGCTTACAGAAATGGAAACGGATAACAGCACACAGGTGACAGTGGTGGAGGGGTCAAAAGCGAAGAAGCCGATCGGTTGCGGAAGGTTGATTTGGTAGTTCTGTACGCGGAGAGAGTTCGGAGAACCGCGGGT